GTCTGAAATATTGCTAACAGTGTTCCAAAATATTGCTACCAGGGTTCCAAAATATAGCTACCAGGGTTCCAAAATATTGCTACCAGGGTTCCAAAATATTGCTACCAGGGTTCCAAAATATTGCTACCAGGGTTCCAAAATATTGCTACCAGGGTTCATAAATATTGCTACCAGGGTTCATAAATATTGCTACCAGGGTTCCAAAATATAGCTACCAGGGTTCCAAAATATTGCTACCAGGGTTCCAAAATATTGCTACCAGGGTTCCAAAATATTGCTACCAGGGTTCCAAAATATTGCTACCAGGGTTCATAAATATTGCTACCAGGGTTCATAAATATTGCTACCAGGGTTCCAAAATATAGCTACCAGGGTTCCAAAATATAGCTACCAGGGTTCCAAAATATTGCTACCAGGGTTCCAAAATATTGCTACCAGGGTTCCAAAATATTGCTACCAGAGTTCTTAAATATTGCTACCAGGGTTCTGAAATATTGCTAACAGTGTTCCAAAATATTGCTACCAGGGTTCCAAAATATTGCTACCAGGGTTCCAAAATATAGCTACCAGGGTTCCAAAATATTGCTACCAGGGTTCCAAAATATTGCTAACAGTGTTCCAAAATATTGCTACCAGGGTTCCAAAATATTGCTACCAGGGTTCCAAAATATAGCTACCAGGGTTCCAAAATATTGCTACCAGGGTTCATAAATATTGCTACCAGGGTTCCAAAATATTGCTACCAGGGTTCCAAAATATAGCTACCAGGGTTCCAAAATATTGCTACCAGGGTTCCAAAATGTAGCTACCAGGGTTCCAAAATGTAGCTACCAGGGTTCCAAAATGTAGCTACCAGTGTTCCAAAATATAATGTAGGTTGATTGGTGAAAGGTGACAAAACTTGCTATCATCTCACAAGGCTATTTACTGCAATCCCCAGACATACAGAGAAATTAATTAATTTCGGCTTCTAGATTTTGTTTCTCATTTCATTCTCTTTTTGAATATTTAATGTTACTTATAATAATATTTAATTATACTAATCCAAAAATATTAGTGTTGATTATTTATGTTGAATTGGTCATGTATGACTATACCCTTGGTATGTACGATATCAAAGGATCTTTTTGTGTGAAAAAAACACGGTTGAGGAAGTTTTGTAAGCATTGAATAATGCATATCTCACCTTTCTGAATTCATCTGAAGCAGACAGTCAATAGCATTCATTGTACGTAATATACAATACTATACACATCTAGACTCTGCGTTATTTTTAAACTGCTTTCACTTTGCCAGGAACTGACCTAAACTGGCATTATTGCGTGATAAGAGGCCAAGAATGAGATGTGACAAATAATTATTTGGGTGAAAAGCCCTGTTAATATTTAAACAATAAAAATTCGCCTCATAGACCATACAATATGGCAATGTGGGGGAAACTACCACTATCTAATTTAAACTAATGTAGTTAAATTCAGGTGCTCTTAGTTGAGATGAATTTACTTGCATGTGGTAATGTAAAACTATGACTTCATAAAAACCTCTAATTCTGATAATGCTGATGCAATGTAAAAAATATAGCATTTTGTTAGCGTGTTGTATTTCATTGTCAATATTCATTCACACTGATTTATTTAATGATAATGTAATAGAATCATGGTGTGTGTGTCTTGTATAATTGATTGGTAGAACTATGATATGAGAAAACATTGCATATTGTTGATTCATACATGTTCATAACTGGGCTACATGTGACGCTGAAGAAAATGCGTCATTTCAGTGTTCTACCACTACCAACGTTATCGAGTTACTCTTCGACTGCCTGTTATTAGTCCCCGTTCGGACGGAGTCCGAAAACGGGGACTTATGTTTTGCCTGGTTTTTTCTTTTTATATTTGTAACAGTGATGAGACTTAATCAATGATTGCCTGTGACAATAACCATTGCATTATTCAATGGTACCATTGTCATTGCGTGGGTTTGACGCCCGAATCTATTGAAATTTTCGACTACCGGGCATCGGTGAACACTACCAGAAAAGATAGTATCGAAATAAGGTCATGCCTATACACTTTCTCTGTGATAATATTT